GTACCCAAAGTAATTGCAATTAAGTGGTAGCCTGGGAGAGTCCATGAGCAATCACAGAATTACAGGGGTTGGAAGGGACCTCCAGAGCTCATTGGGTCCAATCCCCCCTGCCAAAGCAGGTTCCCTACAGCCGGCTGCCCAGGTAGGCATCCAGACAGGCCTTGAATATCTCCAGAGAAGGAGACTCCACAACCTCCCTGGGCAGCCTGTCCCAGTGCTCCCTCACCCTCACCATGAAGAAGTCCTTTCACATGTTGGTGTGGAACTTCACTTTTTGTGGAACTTTTGTGGCCATTGCCCCTTGTGCTGTCCCCACAAATCACTGAAAAGAGGTTGGCCAAGTCCCTCTGTCTCCCACACGTCATGTATTTACAAACATTGATAAGATCCCCCCTCAGTCTTCTCTTCTCCAGGCTGAACAGCCCCAGGTCTCTCAGCCTCTCCTCACAGGGGAGATGCTCCAGGCTCCGGATCATCTCTGTGGCCCTCCACTGGACTCTTTCCAGCAGATCCCTGTCTGTTTTGTACCGGGGAGCCCAGAACTGACCAGGGCAGAGTAGAGGGGGAGGATCACCCCCCTTGACCTGCTGGCCATGCTCCTTTTAATGCACGCCAGGATCCCTTTGGCCCTCTTGGCCACCAGGGCACAGTGCTGGCTCACGGTCAACCTGCCATCCACCAGGACCCCCACGTCCTTCTCCTCAGAGCTCCTCTCCAGCAGGTCACCCCCAGCCTGTACTGACACGTGCAGGACTCCACACTTGCTCTTGTTAAACCTCATTTGGTTTCTTCCTGCCCAGCTCTCCAGCCAGTCCAGGTCTCACTGAATGGCAGCACAGCCTTCTGGTGTGTCAGCCACTCCTCCCAGCTTTGTCATCAGTGCACTTGCTGAGGGCAGACACTATTCCCTCATCGAGGTTGAACAGGACCAGACCCAGCACTAACCCCTGGGGAACACTGATAGTCACAGATCTCTAGCCTCACTCTGTCACCGATCACCACCCTGATTTCAATAAATATTTAGGACTAGACAAGGATCATCCTCAGAAAGGATGACATAAAAGGATTAGAGACTCCAAGCCAGGAAAAATTGTACAGAGATAGGTTTATGACAGTTTGGAATTGTTTATTCCCTAAAATTTTAAAATGAGTCTAAGCAATATAGGTGGAAAATTGGGGTGTTCTTGTTTTTTCTATTATTTTGAAAATGTAGATTTAAGATGCAAATTAAAAATTTAATTTAAGAGTGTTAATCCAGAGCAACAGAAAGTATAAGATCCCAGAAAAGGTACACAACTGCCTTAACAAAGGATTATTTAATTACTTACACTGAACAATTTAAGTACTTCTTCCTTCCCCCGCCATGTTTAAGTCTTTAGGGTCCATCTTTCAAGTTCCCAACTATGCAATGACAATCAGACTTTATAAAACAAGAACTGAGACTCGTGTGATCAGTATGATTCTGTGAGTGGGGACTCTAAGGAAAAAGTGATCAAAATGCAATTGAAGTGATGCTATTGCCCAACGTGTAGGTTGCAGAGCAATGAAGAAGCAGCCTACAAGGAGATCAGAGACTAACAAAGCACATTAATGCTTTTGAATTTGCTATTAATGGGAAAAACAGGACTCTGCATTGTCGCTTTCAAACCAAACCATAGGAATTGATTATCTGCACAAGGACCCCAGCATGCCCTCTGTTTCTAGGACAGCTTTCATCTACTAAGGATTTTCCTTCCCGGATTTCTGTCCTCAGCACGCCTTTATCTGAAGCCAACTCTGAGTTAACAGGCAGTCACCAGCAGCAAAGAGGTTGTTCTGGACACTCAATAAACCAATTCTCTGCTAGCTTTCCAGGGAGAAAGAGAAAAATCCAACAGCAATTTTCAGTAGTATGGAGTACCATCAAGGCCCATTGTTCAGACATACCTGGAGTCAATGCACAAGGTAAGGAGCCTCCTTACCTTGGAGAAGGTAAGAAGAGTAAGGTGGCCCAAACCTTTGTTTTCCAACAGGCAGTTCCTTCTGCACACAGGGACAGCGACACCGTTCTGTGACAAGTGTTTTTTTGTAGACAAGCAGTCTGAAAAAAGTTAGTCTCCACAGAGCCTTCATTTCAAAACAGAAGGCATCCACAGCTTTTGGCCTTCTGTGAGACTAAAAGGATAAGCTCTTAACATCAAGAACTGCCCCAATAAGCCTCAGCTTATTATTATGTTTAGACTTAATTACAAGAAAGGTTGATTACAGTAAGTTTCCTATCATAGCAGCTCTCCCTATTGCCTTTGGTGGGGATAATACAGATTAACTATCTGGGAATAGTTTCCTTAGGGATTTGCAGTACCTTAGGCTTTCCTGTGGAGAACCTACTGACAGGGTACTCAAAGTCACCCTGTGTTATACCATCTTTGCAGCAAGCCAGAGGAATCTCAGGAAGACACTGCGGCAGTAGTACGTCAGTATGTAGTGTCCATCCATTTTCTGAAGTTTTGGCATACTCAGGGCTCAGATTGGACTTCCAGTCTTCCCAGGTGGTAGCAAAATTTCTCCATGGACAGACACCCCCCCTCACCTTGTCCCCACAGATGCGCCAATCTCTGCTAGCACTCTCCATCATCTATTACTTCCTGCAGCCTTCAGGATTAAACTGTACTAAAACATTTTGTTCATTATTGCCCTCTATGAAAGCAAAATACTCTTCTACCATTTCCTCGGTCCCCATAGGTACAGATTCCTATGCATGGGATCTTTTCTTCTCCTTCTTTAAAGGGAATACCACATTCATCAGATTTTGCCAGGATTATTTTTTTTTCCATTATTTTATCTTCCTTTATAGAAAGCAGCTCTCTCACTCTGTCTTGGGTGCTGTCATTACTTCTCGTTTCGATGTACTGTCTCATCTTCCCATCTCCTGGACATCTTTCAGTATTTTGATCTTCTCTCCTTCTTTCTTATTCTATCATTCTATTTCCTACTGTCTCTATTCACAAGCTGCACTCTCATCTCAAGACGGGTGTAATTTCTTAGTTTCCTGTTTCCCCTATTAGTTATGCCACTGGTGAATCATCCTAATTGCAAAGAAGAACGTGCTCCTCATCATTTCTGAATTTGGTTTACAAATCTGATTGAGTGATAGGAATAAATATTACATAAAATGAATATGTAGAAATTAGCTAGCCACTAAGCACAACGCTAAGGCTGTTCATACAGATTGAGAACATCCGATAGGAAATCATAGGGTAGACATCTCGGTGCGCCATTTAATAATGTCAGCCATGTTTTACAACCAAGACGTAATTTGTTTCTACAGATAACTGTTAAAATCGTCTGCTTTTTCCGCAAATGAAAACATGGAAGTTGTAACAGATCTGTCAAGTATTTAGCAGAAACTGCAATCATAACCAATAAGAAACAGAACTGCTGCATGCATTTATAACCACAAGTAAGGTCTGGGTAAGAAGAACAGCTTTCATAAACACCAATTTATTAAACGAGTATCAAAGAAGTGTTACATTAAATGGTAAATAGGGATTATATGGGACACACTTGTGAAAGTCTGTAGTGGGTTTATATGGAAAGGTTTTGGTAGCAGGAGGCTGCAGGACTGCCTTCTGTGAGAAGAATCCAACAACTGCCCATGTTAGATAAGGGGCAGTCTCAGCCAGCTCCAAAAGGATCTGCCTCCGCCCAGAGCTGAGCCAGTAAGCGATGTTGGTTGTGCCTCTGTGAGAGCAGATTTAAGGAACAGGCGAAAAAAAACTGCTGGACAACAGCAGCTGGAGGATGAGGAGTGAAAAACGAGTTTGCAGACACCAAGTTCAGTGAAGGAGGAAGGGGAGAAGCTGAAGTCCCAGAACTGGACCCAGGCCTCCAGCTGGGGCAACTCCAACAAGCCTCGGGCTCTCCAGCTTTCCTCCCCAGGGCCTCAGCTTCAAGCTTCCCTGGCGCCAACTCCAGGAGGATCCTGCCAGGCCATTTCTCCGGCCTGCCCAGGGCCCTCTGGAGGGCAGCACCACCCTCTGCTGCATCCCTATCTCCTCCCAGCTTGGATCAGCAGCAGACTTGCTGAGGGCACGGCCTGCTCCGCCCTGCGCATCATTCATGAAGAGGCTGGGCAGGACTGGGCCTGGACGTGACATTGTTGCTACTTCGTGTCCCAGCCTCGCATCTCTAGTGGGTTTCTGTGGCAAGGTTTGGGTAGCAGGGGGCCGTAGGGGTGGCTTCTGTGAGAAGGACTCTAGAAGCTGCCCCATGGTAGATGAGGGCCCCGCTGCTGGCCAGAGCCAAGCCAACAAGCAACGACTCTGGGAGAGCGTATTAAAGACAGGGGAAAAAAACAAAAACCAACCAAGCAACCAAAACAAACATGTCTACCCAGCAGCTGGGAGAGGGAAAGGAGTGAGAAACAGCCTTGCAGGCGCCAAGATCAGTGAAGAAGGAGAGAGGAGGAGAGGTGCTCCAGGCACGCAGCCCAAGTCCCCTGCAGCCTGTGGAGAGGCCCCTGCTGCAGCAGGCTGTCCCCCTGCAGCCCATGGAGTACCACAGTGGAGCAGGGCTCCACGCTGCAGCCCGTGGAGGAGCCCCCGCTGGAGCAGGTGGCCCTGCAGTGACAGAGGCTGTGGCCTGTGCAAGACCCCTGCCGGAGCAGATTCTGGGCCAGCCCTGTAGCCCGTGGAGAGGAGCCCATGCAAGAGCAGGGGATGGAGGGGGAGCTGCTGCCCGGGGGGGACCCAGGCTGGAGCAGTGTGCTCCTGAGGGATGGAGCCTGTGGGACGGAGCCATACTGGAGCAGTTCTCGAGGAGCTGCTGCCTGTGGGAAGCCCACGCCGGATCAGTTTGGGAAGGACGGCACCTGTGGGAGGGACCCCACGTTGGAGCAGGGGACAAGAGTGACCGAGAAGCAGCGGCAGAGACCAAGTGCTACAGACTGACCGCAGCCACCATTCCCGCATTCTCCTACGCCACTCGGGGGGAAGAGGGGGAAGAGGACGGGTGGGGGAAAGGTGTTGTTGTTGTTGTTGTTGTTTCCTTTTGTTTCTTTGTTTCTCACTTCTCTGCTTCTCCTGCAGCCCGTGAGCCATCTCCCTGTGCCCTCCTCACAAGCCACGAGGGTTTCTCCCTCGAATTTTCTCTCCCTTCCCCAGCTGAGGAGGGAACGAGACAGCAGCTGGGTGGGCACCTGGCCGCCAGCCTAGGCCAAGCCACCACGGCCATTCACGGGGATGAAGAGGCTGCACCGTGGGCTTGGAAGCCCAGGGGGTGTCTGTGAGGCTGGGGGAGCTCCTGGGCCCTGCCGCATCATCCACCACTCCATGGTCTCCTAGTGACACGGAGGGAGCACAATGACACCAGTGACACAGGCGAGTCTGGGGGGGACTTTGCGTCTCTGGTGAGCGCCAGGCGTGGAGGCAGCAGCTCCTGGCAGCGAGGCGAGGCCAGGCGAGGCGAGGAGTTGCTGCGCAGCATGGCTGCCGGAGAGGAGGAGAAGGCCCCTGAGGCACAGGAGGACGGTGAGAGCAGATGCCCCAGCAGCTCCCTGGAGGTGGAGGGCCCTGAGCACCCCCTGGGGCTGTGCAGAGCCGCTTGGGCTGTGGACACCCGGGGACGCCCTGCCAGGAGCCCCCGAGCAGGCCCTTGCGGGCGTCCCTCGGGGACACCTGCCAGGTGCTCAGTGGGGGGATGCTCTCATCCATGGCTGCCGCCCTGCCTCCCCCAGAGTGCGTGCTGTGCCACCGCTCGGACACCAGCTTGGATGGCTGCGGGCCGATGTTGCAGGTGGACGGGGTCTGCGCCCACGTGCACTGCCTGGTGAGCTCCCCGCGGCTGCCCGCGCCTTTCCCCAAGCCCTTGCCTGGCACCTGGAGCCCACAGGACTGTGTCATCCCCAGCGCGCTGCTCGCTGGCTGTCACCTCCTCCTGCTGCGCTGCCAGCACAGCCTCCCCACCATGGTCCCTATCTCCTTGCCCTGAGCAGCTGCGGGGCTTTGCTCTCTTCCAGTTTCCAGCCCAGGGCCTGTACCAGCGAGGCGCTGAAGGGGAAGGAATCTTCGGATTCCTCTGCGCGGATATCAGGCGGGTAGCGGGTCGGGCAGCTCGCAAGGTGAGGGCTTTTTTGGAGCAGACGAGGCTTGTGGCAGCTGAGCCCAAGCCCTGGCAAAGAAATCCTCGAGGCTCTGGACAAGCTCCGGGCAAGTGCCAGTGGCCCCGGCCACGTCCCTGACGGGGCTGCTGTGCTCTTTGCAGCGCTGCTGCGTCTGCCGCAAGAAGGGGGCCACCGTCGCCTGCTGGCAGAAGCGCTGCTCGCGCCGCTTCCACCTGCCCTGCAGCTCCCAGCGGGGCTGCATCTCGCAGTTCTTTGGGGACTACAGGTACGAGCTGCCCTAGCTTGGGCTGCAGCCCCCTCAGCCTGCGCCCTGCAGGCAGAGTCCCCGGTGTGGCACGCGTGGTCCCTGGCCTCACTCAACTCTTCCGTCCTCACGCAGCTCCTTCTGCTGGGAGCACCGCCCGCAGCAGAGCGTGGAGACGCTGCAGGAGGGGCACACCACGTGCATCATCTGCATGGAGGTGGTGGAGGACAGCCTCTCCTACACCACCATGGTGTGCCCCTCCTGCAAGCACGCCTGGTTCCACCGCGGCTGCATCCAGGTAGGAGGCCCTTCCCTCTGCCAGCCCGCAGGGACACCATGCGCCCGCAGCGGCGTCCTGCTCACACGGGGAGTCTCTCTTCCACAGGGACAGGCGCTTCGGGCGGGCCTCAGGCACTTTGCGTGTCCTCACTGCCGGGACCGGGAGCGCTTTCTCCCTGAGATGCTGCACATGGGAATCCGCGTGCCCAACAAGTGCGTTCCTTCCTTCCTTCCTTCCTTCCTTCCTTCCTTCCCACCCCACTCAAGGCAGGAGAGGGCACAGCCCCAGGCCCTAATCCCTCCAGGCAGACTGTCCCCAACAAAAGGGGCTGCCTGCCTGGGGGACAGGAGGATGCTGGCCTGCCGCCAGGGATGCCCCTGAGCCCTGTCCCAGCATCAGCACTGACACTTGCTGAGTGAGTGCCCCAGGAGCTCGTGACCTTTCTTTCCTACTTTCTCTTGAAGAAAGCCGGCTTGGGAGCAAGACGAGGAGGAGGAGCCGGCACTGCCGCAGCTGTATGGCCGCTGCGATGCCAGGCAGTGCCTGTACAGGGGAGGCCGCGAGCAGTGGCAAGAGGAAGGGTGAGCATCCACAGCAGCAGCTCCCCGGCTGCTGGGGGCTGTGAGCCACATCTCCAGCAAGCCGTGCAGTGGCTGCTGGGGCTCTGCCCAGGCACCTTCCCCTCTGCTGGGGCGCCGTGAGCAATGGTTCTGGAGCCTTGGGGGCCTTTGTGGCGCCACTGCCTGCTGGGCTCTGCGTGCTCACCAGCACAACTTCTTCCCCAGGCCCTGGCAGCTGCTGCTCTGCTCCTCCTGTGCCGCCAGCGGGACCCACCGCCGATGCTCCGGCCTTGGGGACACCACGCAGCAGTGGGAGTGCGCTGGCTGCGCTGGCCCGGGCACTGGCACTGGTAAGGGGCACGGCGTGCTCAGGCTCGGGGCGCCAGAGCCCTCCGTGCCCTCTGCAGGCCAGGCAGGGTGGGCACATCCGCTGACCTTCCTGCCTCCCCTTGCAGCTCCCAGCTCCTCACCCTCACCACCGGAGAGGAGAGCCGGCCGTGGCAGGGTGCTGCCCCAGCGCCACAGCCCCTACAGCCGGCCACAGCCCTGATCCCGGCCTGGGGACAGATGCTCCAGGGGGAGCACGGTGTGCTGCGGCTCGCTTTGTGCATTTGCCTGGACAAATAAAGTGGTTTTGGTTTTTTGTCTATATGATTATCGCTTCTTGGACACTCAGACTAAGACATAAATACACGCAAAACACCCACCCCTCAAAAAAGAAAAAAGAAGAAAGGAGGCACTGCTATTTAACAAAGCAGACCTGACCACCAAGCAGGAAGCTGACCCCCAGTGCTGTGCTGAGCAGAAGCAGAGCCTCAGCACGTGGGCACTTGAACAACTCGGAGAAGAGTCAAGGCAGAGACAGACCAACCAAATCAGGACTGGAGCACAAACGTTTAGCCCAACACTTTTTTGGTTTTACTATCATTAAAGGAATATATTTATTAAAGAATAACTTAAAAGTGGTTGTGGCCTCGAACTACCTTCTCCTATGTCGTGGTTTAACCCGGCCGGCAGGTAAACACCACGCAGCCGTTCGCTCACCCTCCCCCCTCCCTCTCTGGGACGGGGGAGAGAAATGGAAAGTGAAGCCCGTGAGTTGAGATAAAGACAGTTTAATAAGACAGGAAAATAATAATAACAAAATAATAATAACAATAATAACAATAATAATAATATGGTGATAATAGGGAAATAATAATAATATGTACAAACAAGTGATGCACAATGCAATTGCTCACCACTCGCTGACCGATGCCCAGCCTAACCCCGAGCAGTCCGGCCCCCTTCCCCCGGTTAGCCACCCCTATATATTGTTTAGCATGACGTCAGATGGTATGGAATACCCCTTTGGCTAGTTTGGGTCACCTGTCCTGGGTCTGTCCCCTCCCAGCTCTTACTGCACCCCCAGCCTGTCCGTTGGCAGGACAGAGCAAAAGGCTGAGATGTCCTTGGCTTAGTATAAGCACTGCTCTGCAACAATTAAAGCATCGGGGTGTTATCAGCACTCTTCTCATCCTAAGCCAAAACACAGCATTCCACCAGCTACTAGGAAGAAAATTAATTCTGTGCTAACTGAAACCAGGACATCCTACCAGAAGCCGATGCTCAGCCTCCGCTTTGGAAGAAGGCTCTAAGCAGAGTTACCACCCAAAGACAGCAATATTCTCCTTTCAGCATTATGGATTGAAATACGGTGTCCTGTGAAGGGGCTCCAGCAAAGAGAGTTCAAGCCAAACAAGTTGCAGCAATGGTCTGGCTGCAAATAGAAGGATAGATAGAAGGTACTTCATCAATATAAGCCTCCCCGCCTCCCATACTGACACAACACCTCCTGGCTTGCTCTGGAGGCCAGCCTCGCCTCAGCTCTCCCTTGCAGTCACCAGCCAGCCTGGAGCTTCCCCTACACAGGAGGCCACAGCCCCTTCCTTGCTCAGGACCACCCCCAAGCACTCCCAGCTGCAGAGGAAAGGGCCAGGTGCCCACGAAGACACACCAGGTTCACAAGACTACAAGTGCCAGGCCCAGCCCCATCGCAAGCACAGGTCTTTGCAGAAAAGGCTCTTCTTGCTCTTCCCACCACTACTAACCCTTGAGAATGCTACAGGGAGGCAGAGGATGCCCAGAAAGAAGGAAGGGACAAGAACACGACACATCAGTGGAGCCATTAAGGAAGCATCAAACCAGAGACGTCTGCAGAGGACAGAAAAGGTCTGTCAGGAACCATTCAGTCCCTCCTTCCCTCAAACGAAAGAGGAAGCAAGAAAAATGGAGGAAAAGCTTCAATGCAAGAAGACCTTGCAAATCCAGAACGGCATCCTGGAAAGCAATCATCCTCACAGAAAAGCCATGTTGAGCTAGCACCCCAACAAAGCACAAAGCTGCTGGGCAAGGTGACCGCCTGGTGTTTTAAGGCTGTTTGTTGTTCAGGAAAGGGAAGCCGAATAGCCAGCATGACACCAGGGTCTCATCTCCCACATGGCCAGCACTAATGCTGCTGCAACATTTCCCTTTGGATAACCAACACTCCTGGCAAGAGCAAGGGTCCTTTGGAAAGCTGAGGTCTAACGCATGCTCAGTTAAGATACCACCACCATCACTTCCAGCCTCCAAATAGCCAGCCGAGCCGCTGCAAGAGCCAGAGCAACAAGCACTCTCTGAGTGAGAGCACGCATACAGCAGCACCTTTGGCTTCAACCACCACAAACAAGCACTGGAAAAAAATCACATTTCCTTCTGCACCAACCATCTTTTTGCAGGGAGGAAGCACGCTCGCACACGAGTGTCCTACCTGCCCAATATTCTCTCTCACTTTGCTGCAACTGCTGATTACAAACTCAAAAAGGTCTCTTTATTGCAGTCACTAGGGAGGAGACAGGCAGGGGATTGCACAACAAACAATCTGGCATGACAAATCTCACCAGCAACACAGGCATCTATCTAAAAATGCCTCTTCCTCATTGCTTGAAGCTAAGACCCTTCTGGAACTGTCATATGGAAAGCATGCATTCATGTCCGTCAGAGGAGAGGGAAACAAGCTTTCAGGTCGTAGCCCCCATTTAAAAGAAAAACTCCCAAGAACCATCCAACAGAAGAAATCACCCAAGGACAAAGGCACCGCAGCCAGACACCGGCAGTGCACAGTGACAGAGGTAGATGAGCCAGCCTGCTTTGGGGATTTATTAAGTCGCTCCAGTCCCACAGAAACTGGACTGCACCAGTCTGGAAGAATGGGGAGGTAGGAGATAGAGGAAAACAGCTTTTTTTACTCGCCTCAGCAACTGCACAACAGAAAGAGTCTGTGCACTTTGCCAGGGCAGCAGGTAAGTAAGCAGAAGTAACAGGGATGCAACGCTAAACCAAAGCAGAAAAGGACAAAGATTCCAGTCCCTAGAAGACTCACCTGGCAGTGCTCTTGTCCCTAATTTGCCTGGCAGCTGTCACATGAAAAGACCAAACATTTCAAGGAAACACAGAGGCCCGTAGGGTAAGCATCCCAGAGAAAGATGAAGGAAGAAGGAAGAGCAAAAAAAGGTTGCAGCGTGATGGACACAGTCAGAGAAATCACACCAGATATTACATTACTCCCAAGGCCATAAGCAGCAGAGGAAGACACCGCAATGCTTGTTTCCAGCTTTTTCTAGAAGAAATTTCCACAAGTATCTTCTACAAGATGAGATTTAAGCGCCTCAAACCATCTCTTTCCTTTCACTCTCCACGTGTCCCACCCACCCAGCCTCCCCACATCTCTCCCTCCTGCCCTGCCCTTCTCCGTTCAAGCGATCATGGCCAGCCACTTCTCAAGGCCCTCGAAGTCAGCATCTCCCTCCTCTCCCTTGCTGCCACGGGTGCTGCATTCCACAAACTCCACCCTCACTGGCAGCTGGGAGAAGTCAAAGTCCTTGCCCTTCTTCCCCAGCTGATGCAAGAAGACCTTGCAAATCCAGAACGGCAGCCTCCTGGCAGCCTCCTTCACAGCTGCCCCGCTGCTCGGGCCTGGCTGAATGGCCGCGCTTTGGTTCAGGTCCCTGCAAAACCACCGGACACACACTGGGCTCGGGCTTGGAAGGCACCTCTGCAGGTCACCTGCTCCAACCCCCATGCTCAAGCAGGGTCACCTGCAGCCACGTGGACACTGGGCACCACTGAGAAGAGCCTGGCTCCATCTCCTTTGCACCTTCTCTTCACATATTGAGGTCCTTCAGCCAGATCCCCACAGGCCTTCTCCACAACGAGCAGTCACGGCTCTCTCCAGCTCTCCCCAGAGGACAGATGCTCCAGTCCTGCCACCAGCTTGGCTGCCATTCACTGCGCTCCCTCCAGTAGGCCCATGGCTCTCCTGTCCTGGGGAGCCCAGAACTGGACCCAGGCCTCCAGCTGGGGCAACTCCAACAAGCCTCGGGCTCTCCAGCTTTCCTCCCCAGGGCCTCAGCTTCAAGCTTCCCTGGCGCCAACTCCAGGAGGATCCTGCCAGGCCATTTCTCCGGCCTGCCCAGGGCCCTCTGGAGGGCAGCACCACCCTCTGCTGCATCCCTATCTCCTCCCAGCTTGGATCAGCAGCAGACTTGCTGAGGGCACGGCCTGCTCCGCCCTGCGCATCATTCATGAAGAGGCTGGGCAGGACTGGGCCTGGACGTGACATTGTTGCTACTTCGTGTCCCAGCCTCGCATCTCTAGTGGGTTTCTGTGGCAAGGTTTGGGTAGCAGGGGGCCGTAGGGGTGGCTTCTGTGAGAAGACTCCAGAAGCTGCCCCATGGTAGATGAGGGCCCCGCTGCTGGCCAGAGCCAAGCCAACAAGCAACGACTCTGGGAGAGCGTATTAAAGACAGGGGAAAAAAACAAAAACCAACCAAGCAACCAAAACAAACATGTCTACCCAGCAGCTGGGAGAGGGAAAGGAGTGAGAAACAGCCTTGCAGGCGCCAAGATCAGTGAAGAAGGAGAGAGGAGGAGAGGTGCTCCACGCACGCAGCCCAAGTCCCCTGCAGCCTGTGGAGAGGCCCCTGGCTGCAGCAGGCTGTCCCCCTGCAGCCCATGGAGTACCACAGTGGAGCAGGGCTCCACGCTGCAGCCCGTGGAGGAGCCCCCGCTGGAGCAGGTGGCCCTGCAGTGACAGAGGCTGTGGCCTGTGCAAGACCCCTGCCGGAGCAGATTCTGGGCCAGCCCTGTAGCCCGTGGAGAGGAGCCCATGCAAGAGCAGGGGATGGAGGGGGAGCTGCTGCCCGGGGGGGACCCAGGCTGGAGCAGTGTGCTCCTGAGGGATGGAGCCTGTGGGACGGAGCCATACTGGAGCAGTTCTCGAGGAGCTGCTGCCTGTGGGAAGCCCACGCCGGATCAGTTTGGGAAGGACGGCACCTGTGGGAGGGACCCCACGTTGGAGCAGGGGACAAGAGTGACCGAGAAGCAGCGGCAGAGACCAAGTGCTACAGACTGACCGCAGCCACCATTCCCGCATTCTCCTACGCCACTCGGGGGGAAGAGGGGGAAGAGGACGGGTGGGGGAAAGGTGTTGTTGTTGTTGTTGTTGTTTCCTTTTGTTTCTTTGTTTCTCACTTCTCTGCTTCTCCTGCAG